TCAGCCTTAAGAATTTCAGCTTCAGCTGGAGTTGCAAACTTCATGTGAGGGTCTTCGGGATTCTGGACCCACTCAGCACATTTAGACCAGTCCAGTTTCGGCTCAGCATGAAGGCAGACTCTTCGGCATACTCGGAATCCGTTTCTGAAACCCATCTCATATTCCTCTTGGGTATAAACATGGACCTTGAGTAAAGCCTCAGCGTCAGCCAGCTTCTTCTGGGTCTCCTCCAAGTCTTCCTTGGATTTCTTCAGCTCATCAGCGACTTTGGAGGAGGAACCCTTCAGCTCATTCAGCTCTTGCTGAATTTGGAAAGCCTTTGTCTGAGCTTGGACCACTTCAACTTTCTGGATCAGCAATTGATCCTCAGCCTTTTGGAATTTAGCTCTTTGAGCTTCAGCAGCAGCAGCAGCCTCTGAGAGTTGGACGTCTTTGGCCAGGAGCAATTCTTCAGCAGCCATTCGGCTGGCTTCAAGAGCCTCTAGAAGCCGCTGCACTTCAGCTTGTGCAGCAGTTCCTTCTTGAATTCGGCTCTCAATAGCAGCCTTGAATTTGGAGACGTCCACTCCCATATGCTCCTGGAGGAATTTTTCCCCTTCCATCAGTGGGGGAAAAACCTCCATCTCCATAGCATCGCAGAAGGTTTTCAGAGCTTCGGCAGCTTTTTTACCGTACTCCTCAACCTCCTGCTGCTTCTCTTCAGCTGCTGCTTGCTTCAGCTTAGCAAGCTTAACTTCCTCTTCAGCCACCTTCCTTTCGTGCACAGCAGCGTCTACCCTATCTTGTAGGGTATCTATCAGCTCTACAGTGAGAGTCTGATTGTGCACGAACTGAAAACAGGAAGACAAAAAAAAAAAAAATAAGTAATAAGAAAAAAATAGAGCTGAATTTCGGAGGAAATGAAGGAAAATTACCTGCATCATCAGCAGTTGGTTAGACCTGGCTGGGTCAGGAACTGATCTACTGGATTCGCCCATCCCAGCAGTGGCCTTCAGCGACCAGATCCTTGCCCTGTCTACTTCGGACATGCCAGCAAAATTGCCGAAGTAGGCTGCAGCTCCTTCTCGGTTTTGACCCCATATGAGGTCCCAGATGTGATCTGGGATTGGAATTCGGGGGGCCGAGAAACCCATTTCTCCAGAATGCAGAGTCTGGAAAGAAGGGAAGGACGACGATGGAGCTTGATTAACCTTGGTTGTCTCAGCATCGTCCTTCTCAGAGGAGTCAAGTACTATGACCTCCTCTTCTTCAGGGGTGAGGACGAAAGCCTCAACCTCTCTTGCGATATCTGCCGTGAAGCCTTCAGCACTTGACATCACGGCATCTTTATTTTCGTGCTCAGCAGCACTCTCCTTGATTTCTTCTTGGACCCCTCCCTTAGGTTCGGGAGTTCTCTGATCCACCTCCATCTCAGGAGGTGGCGGAGGGGTCTTTTGAGGAGATTGGGGTGTTGGCTGGGGAACCCTCGGCGATCCATTGCCTTCCTCAGGTTCCCTTATTGCGACGCCGATGGTCATCGGCCTCTGCTGAAAATCATGAGGGCCGATGATGGCCATCCTTCGGCGCCTTTTCAGAAGGGGCTGCTCGTCCATATCTGAGTCTGAAGACTCTTGTATTTGATCTTCGGGACGAACAGGAGCTTTGCCTTCTATGTGTCTGTTACTCTCTTCAGACTGTAACAGACAGGGGGGAAGAAGAGTGTGAGTAAAAAAAAAAAAAAAAAAAAAAAAAAAAGAAAAAGAAGAACTCACCGAGGTTTTCAGCAAAGCCTCGTCTTCTTCAGCTGCTCTAGCTGCAGCTTCGGCTTCAGCAGCTCTGGAGGACCCTTCTCCTCCTTCACAAGCCTCAAGTACCCGTGCAACCTCTTCGGCTGTGCGGGCAGCTTCAGCTTCTTCGTTCAGCAGCTGAAACCAAGGGTCTCTCTTCTTCCACCAAGGCTTCTGCCTCTGATACAGAGCAACAGCCTCAATTTGGAAGTGGGAAGAGTCCAGATGAACTTCCCTATGCCTCGGCTCAGTGATAGACGGGGCCCGTTCAGTTACAACTCGCTCTCGGTTAACACCAAGACGAGCGTAGTTAATACCAACGTTGGTCTCGTCCCGCTCTGAAAAAAGGAAAGGGAAAAAGTTTAGCTCAGATATGTTGGCACAGCATAAAAAAGCAAAGCGAGAGAAGAAAAAGAGGTAGTTAAAAGCCTCGGCCCCAGCCGAAGAAGCTTACCATCCTTAAACTTTCGGCTGAGGCCAACAGCTGCTAGCATATTCTCTTGGAAAACGTAATGCGTATGGGGGAGCCAAGTCTCCGGGATATGCTGCATTCGACCACTCCCCCCCCGGGTTCGGCAGCTTGCCGAAGATATGTTGCTGATCCAGGTTCGGATCCGCCCCGTTATCTGCGGGGGGACCTAGACTTCCCATTTCGGGATCAGGCTCAGCTAAGTACCGGGGAGCGCTGAAGACGCAAGGGTGGCCCGGATCTATGGGTGCCCTAACCCAAATCCATTGACCTCTCCAGTCCTTGTCTGAAGAGTCATTTGGCCACATGGTCAAGTATTGGGGCCGGGACTCAATCCGATACCACCCAGAACCATGGCTTCCGTGCCCACTCTGAATATTTGGCACTAGCCGATGGAGCTTTCTGAAGCAGTGCAGGTTCGGCACGTATTTGAAGAACTTGCAGACCCATAAGTATGTCATCACCCTTCGGATGCTGGTGGGGGTTAGCTGACATAGGGAAATGTTGTAATGGATCAGCAAGTCTCGGACGAAAACGTCCAAAGGGAACCTCAGCCCATACTGAAGCTGTCTCGTGTACACCCCCACATACCCCGGGGGTGGACGATGGATTCTATCGGATGCTGAGGGCATTCGGCACCAATATCCATCAGCTTCAAAAATGCCGTAGTGCAACTCAATTTGCTCAGCAAATCGATATTGATCGGCGTTCTCTACCCACCATGAGTAGGGGCGGTTCTTTATCATGGCCGAAGCGACTTCGGCATTCTCCCACTCTGAAAACCCAGGGAGGATATCCCAAAGGACAACGGGAATTTCATCGTCCCGTCCAGAAGCACTCGGCTCATCCGTTCTTTGAGGAGGAGCCGAGGAAAGGGGAGTCGCCCTAATCCCTTCTGCAGGGTCAGATTCCGGCCTTCGACCATTCCAGGTCCCAATCCTATTCCTAGGATCGGGAATCGGCCTTGCTCTTCTTGGAGCACGGGCTCTACCTCTAACTCCTCTTGCCATGGATTATTTCGAAGAGAAAAGTCGAAAGAAAAGGGGAAGGAGTTCGAATTCGAAGAAAAATAAACTGAAATCAAAGGAATTTACCTTAATCTGAAGCGAAAGTTGCCGATTTACGAGTTCGTAGTGGCAAGTCTCAGTTTCTAAGCTCAATGCTCGGGGGAATTTGCGAAGTTTTGATGCGGGTTCTTGGTTTCTCTCTCGAAGAATTCTGGGTTTGTGTTGGTGAATAAGTGAGGAGAATGACGCGCCTCTGTTTATATCTCCAGGTACGGGATACGAAGAGTCTGTGCTTTAATTTCTCTTAAGTACCCACTAAGTAACCATTAAACACATGTCTTGTGATTAAACCGCCCATTATCCGTCCAACTTCCGCAAATCATTAACCGTTGTTATCTCATTAATTACGGTTTAAATTCAAATTTTTGGATCAATTAAATCATTTACTTCCCTCCTTTTCTGAGTTAAATCAAACCCGACCCGTCATTCTTCCAAATCGGGTCTGGGGGGCAAGTTGTTTGGGTCCAATTTAGTCAAAATTGGGCCTGAGCACTAAATGATCCAATTAAAAGCCCAAGGTCAAGGTTCAACTCTCCAATTGCTCAAAAGTCAAAAGTCAGCCCACAAAGTAAGCCAATTGGGCTAAAGCCCAACCTCTCCAAGTATGATGAGGTATAAAAGCCCTCATATTAACACATTCAAGGAGAGATCAGATACATTATCTCATACACGGATTATTCCAATTCATATGCTCATTCTTGCATTGAGAAATACTCCACAAAAGCCTCAAGCTACAAACTCTCTTGCATAGTGTCTTCCTTTTTACACATTGTACTGACTTTAGCATCGGAGGGGCCTTCCTCGGAAACACCCCCGAGGCTAGTTTACGTGTGTTCACTGTGCAGGAAACCTTCGGCCCAACACAGCTTGGATCGAATCCAGTCTTCTCCATTTCAGTGGACCTTCGGCAAGATCCCATTGTTTTCAACCGAAACAGATACTATTGTCCCAACAACATTACTTAATTGAATAACAAATGTTTAACACCAGAATGTAAAAATTAATATCTCATCTATAGAAGACTTTCTCACGTAGCCTGGAAGCCTTTTTACCTAGATACAATTGCAAGTGTAATAATTTCTTACTTGATATTCCATTGTTGCCATGTAAGCAAATTAAAAAAAAAAAAAAAAAAAAAAAAAAATCTATAGCAATTGATTGAATGATCGGCTGACCTAAACTATAAATAAACGCTCCATAGTCCCTCCGTAGCAAGCATTAGGCAACAAACAAGAAAATGTGTACTGAAAACACAGCTCCGCGACTTCCAATTTTAAACGGACTCGTTGCACAAAACACCACCAACACATTGGACCTATTACTCATAGAAGTACCTAAAGACAACATTGTAAATATTTCCTACTAGATCACCACTGTTTGGCAGCAACCACTTGTAAAACCAAAATTTTTCCAAGAAAAGGGTCCCCAACTAAAAAACAAATTCATTAAAACATCCAACCATACAAGCCTATAATACATATTATTGCAATGAATTATAACTACCATTGAACAAAAATAACAGCAAATTGTGAAATACATCAATGATCAAAAAGCGTAGGGGTAAGGCGCTGTTTCAATGCCGGCCGCGAAAAAATCACAAAAAATGTTAATTTAACGCCATACATTCCATCAATCAGCTTTTCCCCAGATCATTCCAAGTAAACTACATTGCAGACAAATGTACAATGTGATTTTCACCTTCGAACAGCAAAAATAGGAAATGATGAAACTTGCCCAACGCCCAAAAAAGGAATAACGCCGCAAATTCCAGCCATTGAATAACACCAAATTTTACTGGAAATTCACAACATGACCTACAACCCAACAAAAATTATATTTCAATCAAAAACTTACCATATAAATTGATCATCAAATGGGTTCAATTCTGCTTAAGTACATAGTATAATCGATTTTAAAAACATAATTAAAGAACAATGATGAATTTGAGTAACCAAAATCTAAAACAGAATCAATATAAACCGAAAAGCTGATAAAAATAATACCTTGGTAGATTAAACTGGGTTCAAAATCTGGAAATTCAGGATGTATGATTTGTGAAATGCATGTAAAAAAACAAATGTAAGTGAGAATTCCAAGTAAAAATTTTGTGCAGGTGAGAGAAAAAAGAGATGGGTCGGTGGAATTTTGCAGAGATAAGAATTTAGGGTGAAAATTGTTGAGACACTGACAGATTTGAGGATAGAGTTTTCAATCTGAGTCACTAGTTAGCTGGTTTGGAGTATATCAAACTTACCAATACAAAATAAATATATTGGGCCCTATATATTCATTGGAATCATAGCTAAGCTAATATAGAAATAATTATTTTTTTGACACAATAATATAGATATAATTTTTGTTTTTTTGAAGAAATAATATAGACATAATTTAATATTACCATTTTGGTTTAGAAAAAAAAAATATTGGTCTTTGAAAAAAACAGCATTTATTTTGTACTATTGTACGAGCATGGTGCACCGAGTGTGTAGATCGTATACAAATCAACGATTATTATACCTTGATCCTATCTATAATTACTTTGTTTTCTCAGTAATGAAATTTGTTTTCATCTTTGTAAAGTTTTTCAATTTCGTGTTTTATCTATCTCATTGTAAATCACAACTTTTCTTTAGTAAATGGATCACTTTTTTTTTTCTCTCTCTCTTTATTATGAAGTTAAGCATGTAAGGTCTAGGTCGTCTAGCTTTTGCTCGGAAAAGATTCATTTAGTTTAATTTCTTGTGTGTTTATTCGAGAAAAAGGTATGAAGCTTTTAAGTCTAAACGGTTTAGTTTCTCTCAATTGAAATTTGAATTCGAAGTATTTCATTATGCGAATATCACATTGGTTATGCCTAGATCGGAATCCAATCAGATTGGTAAACTTGTTCCAATAAAATTCTCTTTCTACAACGATATGGAGTTTTGATTATTCTATAGTACTGCTTTACATATCTAAAATAAGCTACCAAACTACGTGATAAACACTAACAATATAGATTTACCAAGATAAAACTGTATTTTTTATCACATGTATTTTCAAAAATTTACATATATTACGTGGGGGCATATTTGGAAGTAGATCAAAAAGGTGGGGCAACTGATGATGTTAATCAAAAGAGAAAGCTAACAAACAGCTTCAATGGAGAAATCAATGGAAGAGCTAGGGAAGGCTCATAGGCAAGCGACAAGCACCTACTTTTTGGGTACTAATTTGATTCCAAAATAACACGAGTTGAAATTGAATTCAATATAAACAGCACAAGTTGAGATTAAATAATAACACGAGTACATAGACGATAAAGAACTTAAATACATCGGTTGTTGTAACTAAATTTGTAACCATACAAGTCCATACTCTTATCTAGTGTACTCCAATAACAACATCATTCACTACGAATCAAATTTATCCGCTCTAGTTTCTAATAGTGTCATGTTATACATTATGCTTCAATACAAGGTACGCCTAAGATCGAATCCCTGCTAATAGTCAACTTGAACCACTTGCTTTTGTAATCTTCTCGTCAAGTCTCTAATCACAGGTCTGATCTTTTCTGAAGTCTTGACAATAATTAAGAACAACAAACGGTACAAAATCACCATACCAACTAGTATAGCAAGATCAATCCATTTAGAATAACTGTCTTCAACTTGCCATGTGTTTTTAAGGATTTTAACTCCTGAAATCATACTGTGTGAATGCCTTTTTTCACTACTAGGGAATTCCAACCCTATAAATTCATTCTTAAACAATCCTTGAAATGCATACTTATGAAAGGAGATGTAGTAAAGAGGGTATCGCCAAAAAATGTCCGGTAGATCGTCGGGTAACCGGAAAAATCCACCACTTAACATCATTAAGCCTTGAACTCCAGAACCAGTGATGATTCCCATTAGAAAATTAGGGACTAAACTTGCAACTATCATCATTAGGCTTTCAACCAACAACATACAAGCAAAAAGGACTAATATGAAGTATACAAAGTTATGGTAACTTTTTTGAAGTCCTGGTAAGAAATATGTTATTGCTCCAGGAATAAGGGCTACTAGAAGCAAGAATGGTACGGATGATAGAGTATTGCCCACCACAAAGGAAGTTGTACTATAATGCCCATTTAGCCTCTCTCTTTTAAATACCTGAATTATATAATTAAACAACAATTTTAGACATATTTAGTTATATTTTTTAAAACAATGTTCTATTAAATCAAATTCTATTACTTGTAATTATTCTGTAGGTCGTAATAGACATTAATAACAAGAATTTCTTAAACAATGTGCCATAACAATAGGTGGGTAGCTATTTCAAATCAAAATCATCATTAATCGAAAAATAAGATAAAAAATTACGCCGTACCTTCATATCCTCAACAAAGGAAGGAAATCCGCCAATTGTCATGAAAGTCAAGTATGAAGCAACAAACATAAGCAATGACCCTCTAGCCTGAAAACAAACAAATTTTTGCTTTTGTAAAATGTACACGTACAATAGTGTCAAGAAACACGGAATAATAATTTCCTCTAGCTTAGCTACAAATAATTATAAAACATGCAACAAAAGTGTGAAATTATATATCTTAGCTTACCTGAATTGAGCCATAACTATGTCCTATATCAAAGAAGAGGGTGCCTATTCCGATCCCTAATATGATGTAGATAGCAAAGCGCAACCAATAGTAACCCCAATCGCGGCGCATGTTCACGAACGACCTTCTAGTAAGAACTTGGCATTGAGTAAAAAAATTAGCAGGCTCTCTTCCTACCACTAACCTTTCTCCTTTCTGTGAAGCATTAAGATGAAGATCACGCAATCAATTATCGTGTACTCTAAAATCGCGTTTTTTATGATATATACAAGTATAGTTTTATGTACAAGTGACCATTTACTTCGTACCATTTTGCATATTCCATAAATTAGATCTTGAACTTGTTGGTAACTCTCGGATGACTTATATGAGTTCACCAATTTGTTCACGATTTCTTCTTTTGATATCTTAGCGGATAGACCTTGCTCTATGTCCTAAAAATTGAAGAAACGACAAGATATATAAATTGTAAAAGGAAAAAAAAATGTTAGCATAAGTACATATCATCATTTTAACAAAAAAAATTGTTTTACCTCATCAAAGTCTTTGTTTATCATCTGAAGAAAGTGATCCGAAGGGTTTTGAAAAGTTGGACATGGAAAACCATTTGCTGAAAAGAACTACATATAAATAAAGTAAGTTTCACATCCAGTATATTCAAATTTGAGGTTGAGACAGTGCGACAACTATATAGTACCTCAGGACTAAATTAAACTACTCACCTCAACTGCTTCCGCGGCAGGACCAAAATACACTGTTTTACCAGAAGATAGAAGACACAGATGATCAAATAGCTCAAAAACCTGGCTACTAGGCTGGTGAATGGATGCAATAATTGTCCGCCCGTATGCCCTTTCCGCGCCTGCAATTCCACTCATCACATAGTATGAGGCTGCACTATCGAGTCCGCTTGTAGGCTCATCAAGGAATAGAAGCTTAGGATGAGTTAATGTTTCGATGCAAATACTAAGTCGTCTCTTTTGTCCACCACTCAAACCTTTAACACCCCATCCTCCTACTCTAGTGTTAACTGAATCTTGCAATCCCATCTCCTTTATGCAATCATCTGCCCTCTTTGTCTTCTCGGATTTCGACATAGATGAGGGTAATTGGAGCTCGCTTGAGTAGTACACTATTTCTTTGACTGTCAGGGTTGTTATCAATATATCGTCTTGTGTCACGTAAGCCTATATTCATGAATCATGGAGAAATAATTTAGTTAGTTAACCCTTATATTATACGAAGTAAGTTATAATCTTAGTTAAAATTAAAAATTATATATTGATGAAGCTAAGCATACCGATGTACCATAAGCAAGTGCTTGCTCGGCGCCATTAATTAGTATTTGTCCACATTGGTTCGTGTTTAAATCCAATCTTCCTGCAATAATCAAAGTACATAACTCAATTTGTAACATATTATTTACAAAATTATCGATATCTTGCACGATGAACTAACTATCAATTTATCAAATTAATGTTCTAGAACAATATTTTTGCACAAACAATATAACCTGAAATAAATAAATTCATTATTATATGTATTATACTATAGTACTAAATGACATTCTCTTACTCAAAAAAAAAAAAAAAAAAATGACATTCTCTAGCAATAAACAATTAAGATATACATACCAGCTAAGGCGTCGAGGAGAGTGGACTTGCCACAGCCGGAAGGACCCATAATGGCTAAAACCTCACCAGGGCAGGCATAACCACTGACATCATGAAGTATATTTTTGGTACTTTTAGCTTCCTTATCAGAAACTGTAACACACAGGTCTTGCCATGTTATACACACACCGTCATCATCTCCGAATCTCGGGGAATTTAATTCCCTTGTATCTCCCATTGCCATGGGACTTTGCACTTCTAGAACTGATCGTTGTTGAGAAGATGCCATGAGAAAGAGAGTTTGAGTGTTTATGTGTTATGTTGTGGTATGTGGTGTTAATTAATATTTTCTATTTGGCTTCATATATTTATAGTAATTTAGGAGACCATGCATATATATATATATACGCACATTTTTGTCCAAATAACCAATATTTTACTATAATAATACGTATTTACTCGTGTACAAATTTTCACTTAGTCAAATCGTCAACGTCAACCCTAAAATTGAAAAGGTATATTATGATTAACATGCAAATGGTGTGTTAGGGAAATTATTTTGAGGTTGATTAGTAGGTACGAGTAGTAAGGAGTATTAGAAGAAAAACACGTCATGTCTAGTGACTATATAGGTTGTTTGATACCATTAATATTTTTGTCTAGTCACTTCATACGTAATTACGAGTAATAAGGAGTGTTAGAAAAACACGGCATATATATGTCAAATAACTTTATTTTTGTTCGACATCCCTAATATTGAAGAAGAAGAGAAAGGAAAAAAAAAAAAAAGTTTGAGGCAAAAGAGAAGAGATGGTTTCACTTTATAAGGTAGAGGAGTTACTCCTATTGTCTCCAATTGGTTTTAGTTTGTACCTTGTTAGGCCTTATTTTGTGAATCGAACTCTCCTCAACTCTTCTTTATTTGGATTACCCAGGCTCATTTCATATTATCTCCAAATTTAACATGGTATCAAAATCCAAGTTGACTTGTAAGTGTCCCACATAATCACATTAACAAAAGAAGATATGGTTCATTGTGTGGTTAGCAGAGAAAATATTAATTAATGTTATAATCTTACAACTTGAAAGGTTTTTTGCACTTCCTTAAATCCAAATTTTATTTAATGACGAAATTTTTTTTTGCCTATGGTCACAAATATTAAATCCTTTCCTTTTTCTCCCTTTCTCTTAGCTTTCTAAAATTTAAAGAGCTCCGAACCACTATGTTTTTTTTTTTTTTTGAAGGGATCTCCGAACCACTATGTTATACATAATAAGTGCATTATTAGTAGATGGTCGAGCCCTACCAGTCTACTACCGTATAAAATTAACACACGTAAAGGGATGAAGCCACGAAGAAAATAGTTTCACATCGAGGTCATATCATTACCCTTATTGTCTAAAATAGGGTTCAAAATGTAGACTTTATTGAGGTGATGTGCATAGCTAACATCATTTTGTGACATGTCTTAACGGAAAATAAAACAATGTTTACCAAACACATTAATGCTGTAAAGAGGGGAAAAATATCAGCTAAAATAACTGGTAAGTGATGGATCAGCTCATGGCTGGAGACTAATAATAGACCACTTATTTAATTAGAAAAATAGTTCGAGTACAATAAATATATAAAATTGTTAATTAAACATGGAAAATGTTGATACCATGTAATACGGTATTATGAAAAAGACATTTAATTCATTTACTACCACATTAAAAATTAGAACAGTTACATAGGTAGTTGGTAGAGTGTACATATTAATATTATTAAGGTACTTCCAACTTAATATTGCTCATACAATTCAACGTAATTAGAAACACTTGTATATATGTGGAAAATGAAAAAATCATGCAATGGTCACTGAAGTAAGAATTGACATAAATGTTGCATACGCATGTGGATACAGTTTGTTTGAATTATACATAAATGTGTGCTGATATTATTAAAGAGTATGATATTATTAAAGAGTATAAGCTATACCAACACTGCACCAATAAATTAAAGGTAAATTTGAAGGAAATTAGTACACTCAAGAATGAAGATTACTTGTTACATTAACCAAATAACCACTACATACAGGCTACAGCACAATTTATTATTGCCTGAATTCCACAAATTCTAGATCAAAGATTTTCATGCCACCTATTCAATTCTATGATCGTTTGAGCTTGATAATTAGGATCTTAGGGAGTTAAAAATCTTGTAATGGACTAATAATAGAGTTTTAGTCCAAAAAATAAAATTGGTTAACTTAGGGTTCGTTTGGCATTTTATTTTTTTTTCATTTTTTGTTTTTTAAAAACTGAACACTGATTTCAGTTTTTAATTCTCTGTTTTTTAAAATTGTTTCTATTCCACTAGCAGTTTTGAGTTTGTAGTTAACTCTTATATACTACCTACTTCTATTATTTATAGGTATTATTCGTCCACTAGTAGAATTGTAGAAGAACCACGGTTAACCTTGAGAAAAGAATCCATGAAAAATTAATTACAGAGTAAAATTAAAAGTTTCGAATTCATAACAATAACCCCTGCTTTTACACTCTGTGCAAAAGACAGAATCACCATTTTCTATCCCCTCTCTTCAATCCCTCTCCTCAATAAAACTCAGTCACCATTAAAACTCAATCACCATTAACAATGGTGATAGTAAGAAGATTAAAAATTGCCCGTGGTGATGAGATTAAAAATTCATACCTCCTCAAGAACCAAATCTCATCACCACTTAGGCGATTTTATACAATGGCGATAGTACTGAACTTTCATGAACCCAAATACAAGAACCCAAAATAAATTGTATAAAAATTATACAAAGAACAATTAAAATTCAAAAAAAAAAATTTAAGAACAAAGATAAACAATTTTGATCAAAGAAATTCAATTCAACCAATTTCACCAACAAAAACATAGTAAGAACAATGGGGGAGAAACATATGGTAATTACAAAGGAAATTAAGATAAAAGAGAGAGAAGGCTCTGTAGTTGATTGCTCCTTGAATCTAGAGAATAATTAGGGTTTGAGGAAGAAAGATGAAATATTGAAGGAGATATGAGCGTGGGTTTTGATAGTGTTTAACTTTTTTTAAAACAAAACCTCCAAAACTGCTTTGAAATGTTTTAGGTTTACTGTTTTAGTTTCTCCAAAATAAGTATAAAGTTGTTTTTTAAAACTATTTTGCCAAAAACTGTTTTGTTTTATTTTGGGAGAAGAAAAACAAAAAATCCAAAAACGGCAATGATGCCTAATACATACACCCTTAATATTAGGGTTCAATAAAACTTGCAATATTAGGCGAACGAAGTTTGCACTACTAAGGATCACATGACCGATTTGCTAGGCTTTGTGTGTAAGAAATGATATCTACATTAACATTTCCCTTTTATCAATATTATTAGTTACATGATTTAATTTATTCGTTTACATTATCTTTATATTTTGTTTTTTAACATGCACGTATGTTGTTGTTAGACAGATATTCGTATTTCACTCCCCTCCGTTACCTCCTTGACACATTAATAGTGATAAAATTTTAAATTTGGGGAAAAAAAAATTGTTCACACTAGACCACCAATTTCGCCTTCAAAAAAATTTCAATTCTTGCTTATTTGTATTCTCAATACTCATACAAAATTTCCACCTGCATTTTACAATATCTAGGAGTTGGACAGTTGGACCCGACTGCATGCTTAGCTTATACTACCTCCGTTTATTATTATGTACAGCTTTGGAATTTTTTATATATCACAAATAATACCCTAAAGTTGCACATAATAATTAACGAAGGTAGTAGAAAAAATGGTAAGTGTTAAGGTCCATTTTATCCTAGCTAACTTGTACTATTACTATATCCGTCCCCTTTTGTTTGTTCATTTAAATCCATTTGTAATTATTAGTTGAATGGAGTTGATAAGTGATAATAGGGAAGATCATCACGTACATATATATTCAAATTGTAATCAAAGTATAGAAATTTAAAGGTAACAAAGGTATATTCTATTACATTCACTAGTCTGGTAAGACGATCACGATGGATCGATCGATGCAATAAATGCATCCATTTCTCCTATCATGCATTTGTAGTAGCTAAAAAGTCGTGGTTCTATACGTACGGAGTATTTCACCATCACCATCAAACCGTGTTGGCTAGTTGTCGATTCATTCATCAATTATTCAATCACCAAGGATAGAGTATGAAACTGCACCATCTAATTGTTAGCCTATCAAGTAGTTACCATTCCGGGCCTGGTGCAATAGCTTGCTCGATGACCAGCACGCCGACAGTTTCCCTAGTTGTATGGTCTACGTATCAAAAACAGATCCCAAAATATTGAAAATCTACCAAATAACAGCAAACCTGATTAGTTGAAATGTCAATGCCAAATAAAGTTAGAACTCGGACAATTAGGGTTTTATCTTAAAATAATTTGATAAAAAAAATAGTCCAATAGACTAATAGACTTATAGATTAAGCATACTCCCTCTTTTTTAATGTGGGATTAGCAAATCTGTATTTGAATTCCCAAATTTAACATTTTATATTGGAAAAAATATTTTAAAAATTATTAAGATTTAACTTTGTTGGTTGGGGTCTTTAAAGACCCCATAAATAATGTAATGGGCTTCTTCCTTTCGGAAGTACCCTTAAATAACAGCAATACACCCACTTCATTATAGTGTTAATATAATTGAGGATGATTATTTATAGGGAGAAAACTTGGAGTGACGATGTAGTGTTGGCGATGTGGTATCCCCTCGTTATAGTACAAAGCTTAAGAACGTAATTAACTAATAACATCGATTAAATACAATAAGATCCAACACAATTTTTGAAATTAAATTTATTGCTTTAAAAACTGTATAACAATGACCCAAGAACAAGAAGATCAAATGTTCAAAATTTATGTTGCATAATCAGAAACTTAATAATGGACTGAAAGATATAATAAACGTTTTGATTAACTATTCCATTTCAAGATGTACTTAACAATAACATCAATAATCCCACATCAATTAGAAGTAATTGAAGCAATCTACTGACAACGTCAAAGATGATAAAAGATGTCGACTTTTTTTTTTTTTTGGCTAAACTTACCAGCAAACATGATAATTACCAGCAAACATGATACAAGTCTCATAGTATAGTTTCCGAAATTGTACATCGATAATCCAAGAACAAGGATATCAAATTCCTTGCAAAACATGTCGCAAATTAAAATGGGATCTCTTCTTCGAGATTAGGATTATGGTCAAAATACAGACATATATAATATACCTTCCAAATTGAAGAATCTCAATTTGTAAGTAGTGCCAACAAGAAAATTAGGAGACAAACTCAATCTCCTAGAGGGCTT